AGCTGGCCATGGAGGCGATTGGATGTTGCAACTCCGCCCCCATGATTGCGTGGTGCTGAGGCGGCGTTGTCCACCCAGTAGAATGTAGTCAGCACCTGCTTTATGCAACTTACCTTGCTTAGCGAGCCGAGTTTGACTGAGCGCCGCAATATAGATGTAGTAACGCGCCAACTCCATCGCGACTAGTGTAGTGCGTCGCTCGGGGCGCTCACTAGAGTGCGGGTCCAGTAGTGTGCGCACGTTCCAGCACCCGATGCTAAGTGCTTCACTCGCAGGCATACGACTGCATTTGTGGGCTATCGAACGCGAGGTGGTTGTTGTGCTTCGGAGGTTTGCTTGAGAGACTCCGCTCGGAGCCTTTGGCTCAATAGCCTTACCCAAAAGGCAGTAGGTGATTTGGAGATTTGCTTGAGGGTCTCCGCCCGGAGCGTGTGACTCAATAACATGACCCACAAGGCAGTGGAGAGCAGATCCAGCTCTGGAATGTGATTACAGAGACAGATTGGGAGCTGCTTGAAGGCTGTTACACGCAGGCTTTGAGGTACTGGAACGATTTATATAGGTTTTGCGACCGTAGTGGGATACGCACCTGCGACCACCGCCAGATGCAGGCGGGTTGGCACCAATTTGACCAGGGGCTGCCTGGCTTGAGGCGGGCAGTAGCAAACCAATGAACACCCGGAGGTGTCCTCCCACCGTCAGAGACAATGCGTGGCGCTCGTGCTCTATGCTAATCGAGCTGTGAGCTTATAACCAGTTGAACTGTTGTTTCTCATGGATAGGTTTTACAGGGAGAAAGCCATCGACCACTTCGTAATCTCCGAAGAGGATGGACTAGGATACTGAGAGGGCGCCCGCACCTGACAGGAGAACGATTCGGGTCGTCAGCCCAAGCCTTCGATTAAATGTACACCCGAAAGGCAGCGGGTCAAGCACATAGTCAGTTCACTGACTCATGCGGATCGGTGTTTTGGTTCTTAGCAGGGAGAAGGGCGAAACCCGACTCCCACTCAGCGATCGCCACGAGGAGGCGTCCAGGACACGAGACAATGGTGCGACAGTAGCAGCAGTGGGTAGATCATCTTTCAGGATCTAGCCACTACCTGCCTCAGCGCACCACAGGATCACCGGTCATATATATATATATATATATATATATATATATATATATATATATATATATCAACAACAATCTTAAAAATGGACATGGTGTCATCAAGGAAACCACGGGAATCAAAGCAAAGTACAAGTTGACAAAAAAGAACGAAAGGTTTTCATTTCGTTTTTCACACGCCGACCTTTTGTCATATTCAATGTATCAAGTAATAAAGATGTGAATCGATACAATTGTGCACAAAATCCGTTCACTTATTTTGGTTGAGAGCCATGTGTTCGAGTTTGGCACTCGTCATCCTTGGGTCCCCGTCCTGGAAGACGTACGGGTCCAACGGCGGCTAGATGCGACGTCAGCGATTTTACGTATTGTTTACAAGTGAGATTCTGACCACAACGCCGTCGCCTCCAGCCCGGTCCTTGACGAGGGAATAGAGCGCGGTGTGGTAAACGCTCAGGCGCCAAGCATAGGACGTGACCAAACCATCTCAACTGGCGCAGCGAAGTCAGCTTGCTGAAAGGAATACTCGTATTTCCAAAGACGTCACTTCTAACGTCATCCCTGTGAACTTGATTTTGCTACAGACACGACGAATCCTCTCAAACAACTGTTAGCGAGGGCAAAAAGACGACGCATGTTCTCCAGGCGAATTGGCCAGGATTTGGTCCCATACAACAACAATGAACGAACCGGGCCATTGTAAACAAAACCCTTTATCGAGAATGAGACAGCACGACGACGCCACAAGTGCTTCAGATAGACAAATGTTGATCGGGCTCCAGCGATGCGAATAGTAACCTCCTTGTTGATAGTACCGTCAGCAGAAACACAGCTCCCAAGGGAGATGAAACTATCTATCTGTTCAAGTTGTGCACCCACACGGGTGAGCACCGGTGTGTGTGCCAACCATAAAACAGCAGTTTACACTTCGATGGGGCGAGATTTTTGGCATAATTAAGTGCCTGAACCACCAAACGATCTAGAATATATTGCGTACCTTGTGGATCGTCCCTAAGTAAGGCGATATCATCAGCGTAATGAAGGTCGGTTGTGCGCTCACACGGTCGAAGCTCTATGCCAAAATTTTGGAAACCTAGTACACTCGACAGGACGTCCTCGACTGGGGAGTTAAAGAGGAATGGGGACATGGAGCAGCCTTGTCGCAAACAGCAATTGACAGCGAAGGTAAAGGGAACCTTGTCGTTGACCTGCACTCTGCTGGAGCTGAAAGGGTAAAGCGCATGTATGATGGCGATATATGTTGCCCCCTGTTCTTCAGAGAGCAACGCCATAAAGCAGATCTATCAACGGAGCCAAGTGTAGCACGTATGTTTAGGAATGTGACGAAAGCGGGTCTGTGGTAATTGTAATGATATTCGAGGAATTGGTGGAGCGTGAAGATTTGATCTAAGCATCTAAGACCGGGACGGAAACAAGCCAGATTATGCTCTGGGCTGTGCGGACAAGTGCAAGCACTTTAGTAGCTCCCCGAAAGCAAAGCACCGTATGCTGGATACCAACAGGCTAGCTAACTCCGCCACACAGCTAACCTATCAATCCCCCTTATTAGATACGTTCGCCAGTGCTCCGTTTACAGATGTCGAAAATCACTAGCGTTTCTTGCGGAAGGCGTTGCTTTCTTTCAATCGTTCATACTGTAAAACCACTGGGCATACGCTAGGCCACGGGTGTCCAAACGTTTTGCAAGGAGGGCCAGATTTTGTGAGATAAAAATACGTCGGGTCATCTTCAGTCTGACATTAAAATAATAACAAAAATTGAACACACGAAAACAGTTCGTCTGAATTTATTATTTCATGATGAGGCCGCGGGTCAGTTGAAACGTTAACGCGGACCGCAGTTGGCTCGTGGGCCGGATGGATCTCTGCCCGCTCTCTGGAAATGTTTGATCGTCGCCGACCTATCCTAGCTGAGTTAAGCAGCGATGGCAACCGCCACCTCAGCCAACAACTCAAGCAGAGCTTTCGTAACGATCAGGAAACTTGGTGGTCTCAACGCGCTTTAGAGATGGAGATAATAGTTTTCTGAACCTTTTCACAATATTTTTCAGACCATTCGGACCACTGGCGACAAAGGGCCTGGTATCAGTGTAGCCATTTGCGAGGTTGACGGATCACCAATCACAAAGTTGCGTAGGCGCATAGACCGCTGGGTTGAACAGTTCCATTCCCAATTAGTTTTAGTATCCTCCTTCAGGTTGTTTAACAAGTATGCCTAATTGCGCGCCTTAGAACATCACTGGAACCACCTACCAAAGCGTAGGTCTGTCTTAAGCTTCGCCACTTGAAGCAATCCAAAGCTGCTGGGTCAGACAAATTTCTTCCATAGCTGTTCAACTGCGGCGGCGAGGACATTGCTGACCAGTTAATGGCTCTGTCCTCTAAGTTTTGATGTGAAGAAAAGGTTCCAACATTTTGGGACGGATCCATTATCGTACTGATCATCTTATGGGCTTACCATAGAGGAATCAGCCTAATATCCGTCACCTGCAAATCGCTAACATCCATTCTACCATGCAAGCTAAACCCTGCTTAACCACACTCCGGTGAGGAACAGGCAGGTTTCCGCTCTGGTCGACGGTGTGTGGACCACAGGTTTAGGCTCCGCCAACACCTCGAGCAGCGCCATCTCTATCACAAGCCAACGATTGTCGCCTTTGTGGACATCCGATCTGCGTTCGATTCGGTCGATTGGTCTGTTTTATGGCGCTGTCTGTAAAAGAATGGAGTACCCAAAAAGTTTACCGCCATCCTCCGAGCTTTATACAACAACGTCTATGGTCAAGCGAGGGCTTACTTTTGGCTCTTCTCACTAGTGGGGTGCGACACGAATATTTCTCTACAACCGCCATTGAGGATGTTCTGTTAAGCGCCATGGAAAGCTTGAAGAGTTCTGACGTAGAGCTGCTTCCAGGCAACTGCGCGACTGACTTGAACTGTGCTGTTGACATTGCCTTGCTCGGAGACGACCCATAGATCATGCAGGTCGTTCTAAACCACTTAGTGGTTGAAGTTACAAAGTATGTCATGACTTTCGCCCCAACGAAAAGCAAAGTCCTACTCCAGGATTGACATCTACCTGCTGCCGTGCTTGTTCTTGAGGGCCCGCAGCTTAAACGATTGGATAGCTTTGTCTGCCTTGAGAGCCGTTTGCAGGGAGATTTTCGTAGTAGCATCTTTCGATGATCTGAAGCATCTGTGGCGTCGTCGTATCTTTTCACTCCCGGTAAAGGGCAGGGTCTACAATGCCTGTGTTCGGGCGGTACTGTTGTACATAACTGAGTCCTGGCCGATCCGTAAATGACGCATCGGATTTCGGTCTTTGACCATAGGCCTGTGGAGAAGAGCTAATATGTGGTTCTTCCAACGACGATGTTAAATGTCGCGTTTTAGATAATACGGGCCTCCCTCTCGACAAGCGTCCATTGAAGTGGCTAGCTCAAGTTCTACGCATGCCGTGCAAGTGTCTAGCACGGCACGCTTTATTTGCCCACTCAGCGCCGCACTGGAAGAACTCGCGCGGCGGTAAACCTGTCATATGGCAACAAAACCCCAAGGGCTGGGGGATCAAATATAGAGAACACTCTGATTGCAGACTGTTGAAGACGTGGCGCGCATTTGGGGACAGTTGAAGATTTTCGATTCTAGTTGTCAATGATGTAATCAGTAGATTGACAAAATGGAAAAAATGGCATTTAAAAAGTGCAACAATGCCTTTCTTTGCCCTTTCCCCACTTTGTAATCCTTGTACTTAGTACGCGCATTTATTCCATAACTTTCGCTGGCTGTCTGTCGATTGTATAGACAGTTGCTAGCCTTTCCCTCAAATGGATAGCCACTGGGTGACACCAGGGCGAGAAAACTGACGACAGCCTTGCAACATTTTAAGATAAAGCTGGTTGTACAGACATTGTAAATGCCACGGAAATGTTACGAACAGAGCGATGGGCCGGATCGTCACGACGGAAACTATACCCTTGGCCCGGAGCAAACAGGGGAGCGCAATTGTACACGAGCGTTCAACATCATGCTCCCATAAATCAGTTGGTTTGAAAGCTTGATTAAAGCTGAGCAACCGTGGGTATAATTTGGCAAAAGGCCAGTTTGTATTTGAAACAACACTTCTGATCGACACCCGGTCTCAGAACTGACAAATGGTGACTGCTTCATTTTGGCACTCAAATGGGCGCCATAATCCTTTTTTTGTCGAGGCTGCTAAGCACAATCCAGTGTAGAGGTCTCGAAAACAAATCCAATTTCTGTGGGAACAACGGGTTGACGAATGGGACTGCACCTACGCATAGACAGGCATATCTTGGTCAAAATCGTAAAAGTCCTGTTCCGTTATACGGGTTGCTCCTAAATGAAAAGTATCATTCGCCAGTGCTGCCAGCATTTCCTTTGAAATCCATTCAGTAATAGAACACGCATCACCCAACTTACGCTCTCCTCGTCCGACTCCGGTCTGACAATCAGGGCCCCGTTAGACTCGCAATATTCCACGGCACCGTCATGATCATATTTGCGATGCGCAATCATGTAGCACTTGCCATGAGGAGGCAGACACCTCATAGCTGTTGTAACAAACAGGAAAATAGGATACGATGCATAAGTACATACCACCCAATGAGTTATTCCTTTCCGACTGTGGTACAAATTCATTCAGCATTCTTGAACAATTAATGATTGCGTCCGTTGGGAGATAACCTTGGCCCGGTGACATGACAAATATGGAATATGTGAGCATGACAATTACAAGGGTGGCGCAGCTATGCAGCATGGGTGGATGGACCCAGTGTATCGATTAAATAGAATTTGATTTCCTGGCATCGTGGAGTGACCTTGAATAAATTAGGCTTTGGTATCAGGTGTGTCAGCAGTGAAGCTGTGAATTCCGAGGCAATCTAGATCGGCCGAATGCATACATTAGTTAGGTAAATCAGAATAGGCATCCACAGGAGTATTCCTTCGAGTGCAAGAAAACTAGAATAGTGCAATAATGGCTAATTAAGGATAGAAAGCCAACGCTTATCACTTTGTGTGGGATACCTTGTGGAAAGATCAAATGTTTGAAAGGCAAAACAAGGAACAAAATAAATTTTACATTGGTGGGCGCAAAGCAATATCCACATAAAAGCGATTACAGATTTGTTAGGATAGGACCGGATGCAGGGAGGAAACAAGATTCCGCTTGACGAGCGTCCTGTTTCGTGTGTCAGTAAGCGAAAAATAGCCCACAACAGTGCGACTTGATAGAATGTACTTGAGTATATAATGGAGAAAAAACAGAAGCAACACACTTTCATGAAGTCATGAGTTTAGAAGCAGCCATCAAATCTCAAGGAAATTCTGGAAACAGGGCTAGCCAATTTTTGTCTAGGCTACATTTAAATTCCTCTACAGTTTCGCATCCCAATAAAGCAGAAAGAAGTTTATTTCAATTAGGCACAACCCGGTTTGCGAAGAACCTGGCTATTAACCCTAGCCTAGATCAGTTCTGCTTCAGTTTCATGCAATGCCCCCCCCCCCAAGTTGTCTGATGTAGCTGGTTCAAACAGATCGGTGGGCTTAAAACCACGGAGACCCTTTATTATATTGGAAGCCTCTATTAAGTCATCTCTCAATCTGCGCCTCGTCAGTAAAAGCAAACCTAAGTTAGCTAACCGATCTTCATACGATAACCCACGCTGAGCTTCTATTATTCGAGTGGTCAGTCTTTGCACATTCTCAGTAAAAATAATATCTTTCTGCATGTACGGTGCTCAGGCCTGAACACAGTATTCCACATGTGGTTTGACCACAAGTTTGAACAAGAGGAGAAAGACCTCTGGCTTGGTACAATTCAGAACTTTTCTTAGACGAAATAACTCATGTCGCGCTTTATTAGTCGCATGCCTGCACTGCGCCGAGCGCTTAAAGTCACTCGTCATGATGACACCTAGACCGCGTGCCCTGGTGGCATGCTGTAGTGTTAGGGACCCATTAGGTCTATACACAATAAACTCATCATCACGCAGAGTTAGGATTTGACATCTGCTGGTGCTCAGTGACAAGTCTCGCAAGTAGAACCAATTAAGAAGGGTAGCAAAATCTCTAGATAACGAAGCCCTGTAGCCCCAGTTGACAAGATTCAGGTCGTCAGCAAACGTTTAGGAGGCGTCATCAGGCAGAGAACCAAGTTATGTATAAAAATGAGAAATAGCAGCGGACCGAGTACTGATCCCTGCGGAACTCCAATGTGAGCAGTGCATGTGCTCGAAGTAACGTCACCAACCCTGACACGGAATGCCCTACCGTAAAGGAGTGCAGACAACCAAGAAAGTAGGTGAGGAGGGATTCCAAAACAGGTAATCTTTTCTAACAAGAAACGGTGATACACTGTATTAAAAGCTCTACTGAAGTCAAGGTAACATACTTCTACTGGTATACCTTCATCAAGACATCGAGTTATTTCATCAAGGAAACAACAGGTCGATAAGGGATAACTTTTTCTTGGCGAAGCCATGATGTTTTGCTCCGATCAGGTTAGTAGTAGCCAGATGTTCACAGATTTGACTCCCATTGATCTTTCCCAGACAGCTGCGAAGAACTCTAGTCACACTAACAGGCCCAGTTATTCGCGAGAACTTGAAGCACACTAATGGATCGCCACCACAACTGCTTCCTTCCAATTCTGTGGTATCTTCCCCTCACGAAGTAACGTGTTGTACAACTCAAGAATTGGAAGCCGGAGTATGTCGGCTATCGGCCTGACAATAGCGGGATGCACATTATCGGTGCCAGGTGATTTGTATGTTTCAGTCCTTCAGTATAAAGAAAACATATGAAGCAGTTATGACGATTTCGTCCATTTTGTACTCGCTTACGCACTGCGACGGCAATGGTACTGAATGCCCATTGTCCGTTCGATGAACTTTCTGGAAAACACGCTGCAACTCCTACGCCTTATTAAGGTCTCCCGTAGCCCGTTACCCATCTTCTGTGATTAGATTGCCAACTACTTCCCTTAAAAAGACTTTTGACTGGACGCAGCTGTAATAAGGTTTCGCCTTCGTTTGCGTTTTGCTCTAGCCTAAGCTCATAGGAGTAGCTGGCCTGGCTCTGAAGTTTGACCGCCAACTTCGACTTGAAATGGTTGCTTAGCCCATGCAAATGTCCGTAGCTATACAGAACATTCACACAGCTCTTTGTCTTTGAATGTGACACGCGCTGATTACCGTTACTCACGGAGGCTTCTGGCAGGTCATCTTCTGAGCCGCTGTCTTCTTTCTGTTCTAGTCTGTTCTCTAAAATCTTACTGACGAGTTCATCTTCAACAGTTGTCAGATCTGAGGTACCTTCCACATCATTGTCAATGACGACGAACTCCTCTGCATTGATGACTGAAATTGTGCAAGAGCTGACGTCGTCCTCAGCGATGACGGCATCAGCACAAAGTGCATCGGATGGCAATCGACTGAAGTCAGCATGCTAAAAGCAAGCTTTTATGATTGCACCGATAACCTGTCTCCAACTATTTAAAATGAACCTAATTGCATGAAGCGCAGAAATCTTGCCACTGACATCCAGCGCCGTCGATGAGCCAGATAACACGTTGTTTTCATGTGATAAAGAATTCGGTCCACAAGTTCCTTTCTGTAACTGATTTTCAGATCATAATCAAACCTTGGTCCATGGGTTTAAGAACGCTGGTCGTGTTTGACGGCAAAAGTTCCAGTTGAATGTTTTTCAGGCCTCCTACCTGTGGATCCGCTGTGCCATTATCCAAAGGCAAAATAATTTTTTGGCCATTTTGGCATAGCTCCTTGTCCCATTCGAGGACCCCCTCGATGTAAAGTTCCTTCGTCATCCACAATTTGTTTGTTAGCTCTATAAGTTACGGGAAGTGTGTCCATGTTCAAGCAATTAGAACATCGTGGTTTCTTATCTTTTCCACTCGAAAGCAATTTTCTTTTATCGATGCCTGACATATACGCGCAGCACAGGAGAGTGATCTTATCCATGGCTTTTTTCTATCTGTTGAGCTTGTCGGCAGAAAAACACAAAAAGCCCTCTGGAGTTGTCCGGTAAAATAGGCCTGTTTCGTCAGCATTGTACACGTTGTCATTATGAAATGCATTTAAAAATTCAGGCAGTCGATCTTTCAGCTAATTTTCACAGACTGCTCTGCCCGTGGAAATGTTTTCGCCAGACGCACGGATATACGCAATGTTATTTCTATTCTTCTATCTTTGCAACCATCCTACTGTGGCAGCAAAGGTTTTTCCAAGTCTTTCCCCAAAGTCTTCTACCTTTTTCTTCATAAGCGGGCCTGTAACTGTTTGGTTGAGTTCACGAACCAATATCATCCGGCCGTTCAATGCAGTTTCAACTTGTACATCCTTTTCACCTCGCCTCCTTTTCTAAGAGGTTGCAATGCAATACAACAAATTCTGCCGGAGCTCCTTTTCGCTGGCCATCAATCTGGCTAGGGTACGATGAGAAATGAGTAAATCATGCGACAACTTGGTCTGCATGGTTACTGGTGGATAAATTTTAATTGTGCTAAAACGTCCTACTTTTCTGACAAGGACACATCCTTTCTGTTACTGGCTACACTTCTGCGTAACCAATAGGATAATGGTAAATGTGGAGCGGAAAGACTACCCGATTTTGCTCAGTTCACGAGTTTTGAATAGGGCAGAGGGTACATTTAGTTTGCTCGTGTATTGAACGACGTAGGTAATCTTTTCTGATCTGTCAATAACGCCGCCGACATCTTTGTTGTTCTTGAATGAATCGGATTGGCTAGCTGTGGCGTAATGGTAATAAAAGAATCAAAGCGAAAGCTTAAAATGGACAAAGCGAGAAGCGCACAACCCACACAGCTGGGCAATTAAACAATGGGACGACCCCAGTAATGGGCAATTGGGTGGTAAAAATTCAGCATATTTATGAGAAAAGCATCTGTATTTTGAAACATTGGGCACTAAAGCACAGTGGGCTAGAAACCGGGTGGGCAATAAAGCGGGTTCTAGTGTAATCCGATAATCACCGATACTGCATCCAGGGTCGCATTGAGTTGTCACTAAGATTCGGACAATATGCCAGCACGGCTGTTTAACCTAGACCCACCTGGGGTGCAGAATAATCGCGCTTTGGGAGGGGGGGGGACCAAAAATTGGTAACACCTAACGTAGGCCCACGCGTGATCAAACGCAAATGCTTAGTGCTTGAGGGCTTGTTACACGGACCTCAGCCGCCGTTCATCTATTGGTGCGCAGTGGGTCTGTGTTCGGCAACATTGGACAATGACCGGGGTTGGATGGGATGGAAGTAGGTGCTGATTCACGAAGTGTCTGGGATGGGGGGGTAAGGCGAAGTCAAGTCAAATTAAGCCTTATCCACTCATATGGGTACATTTTCACACTAACACAGTGGAGTATAATACAACAAAGTATCAATGAGAAATAACAATTGACAGCAATAAGAGAAAATTTGCATCTTAATTCCTGTTGGGTCGATCAGTAAGCGTGAAAGACAAGACAGGATGGAGTTGCGATACGATGAGGTACGAGAACATAAAAATAATTGTTGGTCGTATGGAAGAAGCAAATATGGTGCTGGTTAGAAAAGCAGGTAAAGGGTGGGGGAGTACTTTAAGAGTCTGAATTAAAAGTTGATGCATGCATCGAAATGCTTGTTAAAGCTGAAATTGTTGAGCAGTGCTTTCTTTAAACCACAGCGGCGAAATAAATTTTAGCCAACAGACAAGGGAGACATAATCATTTTGAAACAGTCTTTGGAAAACAACAGGGAAACAGTATAACCAGTGAGGGGGAGTGCATGCAGTTGGGG